GCACTATGGAGAGTATCAACTATTCATAGGAATAAGACTTCTTATGGGAATTAATGAGATCAACATGGACGTGATCTGGACCGAAATTCATGTAATCTATATTTTTCATTAATTGAATTTTGTTGGATATAATTGACTTAAGAAATATAGTGAATACATGAAATAGTAACACATGTCACGTTCTCGATTTGTCATTAAGTAATTTAATTTCATAACGATGTTGCATATCTGATTTTAAAGTAATTAATCAAATATTCTTAAAAAAGAAAAAGACAGCTAGGGAAAGAAGAGAGACTTTTAATCACCCATATTATATTAGAGAGTGTCTAAAGCTTACTTATCAACGGAATGAAAAGATACAGATCATGAAATCAAGAATTGATATCTTTTATTGACATAAAAGGTTATAATCTAATTTTTAAATTTATGTTTGTAAATCTCAATAATTGATATTTTCTAAAAGCAAGTCAATAGTCGAAGTTTGATTTTGATGCAATGGACTAACAGTAAGATGATTATTAAAGTCAATAAGACAATAAATCATTACTGCGACAACTTAGCCTACTTGAATAAATGAAGCGTAGCTTGTTAAATCGATATTTTGAATCTCGTCTTGTGGCCTAATCATATGCATCTTCATTTGTTTCTAATCCCGTAAAATAATCATGCGCTGACCTTTATTCTCGCTCAACATCCTCGATTAAAACATCTCTCAATCTATGTAAAGGTTAACAATTGGCAATTGCATGTGCTCGCAACAATGCTCAATCATGTTCCGAATCTCAAACGACTTAATCTCATCGTCAAATTGAAGCCATGTGTGTTTGATTTGAGTGAATTAGCTCGTGTCCTTGATGAACATGTTTTACAACTACATCACTTTAAATGTTATCTCCGATATCATCATAAACTGATCGATCTTCATTATATTTGTTAAAATTATCTTTGTTTAGAACGAATGCAAATGACCTACTATAAAAAACGAGATGCTCATTTTGTGTTCATTGAGTAGAATTTATCAAAACAGAAACCATGTTTCGTAAATACTTTTTGAAGATAAATAAATTATGAACAAATCTCACTGACAACAAATAGATATTGCTGCCGTCTTGATAATCCAACTGGCAAATAAATAAAAGCTATTATAAAGATTTCTTCATGGTAAAATTTTTCGCTGAAAGTGATGGATACGGATAAAAATCGAATACTTTCTTTGTATGTCGGTGTTTTTCTACTGCATATGAATAGTGCTTCAATCATGACGACGTTATTTAAGGAGATAGATGCAAGCTTTCTGGTCGTTTTATTTCTTGTTGTAGCTGATCCTGAGTATATCATAAGAAAAAGAAAGATATCGCTATGATAAACAGATACGTTGAGTCAAAAGATCATTGAGAGAGAAGAAAATAAGTATAGAAGAATTGAAATGGAATGACCAATAGTCGTTCATATTGCATGTTTTATACTCCTATACATAGCATCATTCGTATTCCTGTCGTCACATATGACATACGACGAAATCATTTCAATCATGTGGTATTTTTTGATATTCTTGCTCACTCTCCTTCTTGTTTCTGTTACTGGAACAGTCAGAAAGAGACGTTCGTATAAAATACATTCTGGTGAGTTTCTACAACTTCACTAAATTAAGACACATCCTATGGTTTATTTCAACTCTTTTGGTGACGAATTTTTTTTATTTGATGAAAATCTCGATTATCATTGTTAAAAATAGATAAAAGTGTTCATTGAATTCTTTCTTTTAGAGAAAAATCAATTAAATTTTTGTAAATGTAACAATCTTCAATGAAAAATTTTGATTCATTTTTTTCGAATATTGTTCAATCCATTAGTTGAAGAAAATGTATTCACTGCAAAAAAAGAATTTCATTTAATTGATATATCATCTCAATGTATGAAAGTCTCTCTGAATATATTGTTCTTTAAAGAAAATATCCAAATTACTTTTACAAATAATTCACAATATCGAATAAAATCTTTCAATTGATATTAATACATAATTAGAACTAACAACTAGAAAATATGTTTGTTCAAATTCTAAGGAAATTTCCAAAAAAATTAAATATTTGGAAAATATCTGAAAATAAAGGAAAGGAAAAAGAACAGAAAAGAAGATACGTATGTATGTCGTGTGTCATCTATACTACATGATAGAAGACCAGAAAAGAAAAGAAAGAGCTATCCAACAGACTGAATCACACTATAACATATGTGTATAAACATATCGAAATGTTAGTTCTTATTTAATTCAAAAATTTACCTAAGAATACACGTCGTACACACCGTCATTCTTATTACTGGTTAAATTTGTAAACAATGCCTATTGAAGAAAAACAAAGGCGTCAATTGACTGATGCAAAACAGATCCATGATTTTGTAAACAAAAATTCCGGTACAATATCAATTAACTATAAAATTTTTCTTTAGATAAAAGAAAATATTCGTTTGTTACAAAATGATTGTGTACAAATACAAGAAGTTCAAAAACTTTTGGTGAAGTATATCAAGCTCAAATTCAATCTTAAACAAGAAACAGAACATGGACAACAACCATTATCACGAGACATGACGTCAATTGACAAGAACATGGAGTATTTGGAAGAACGAATAGCTAAATTATCACATGCTATTGAATACGGTTTTGATAATTTACAAATATTTGAGGATGTGGGTGTGATTGAAAAGGTCTAAACATCCCACGCCCGGTGACCGGACAATTCGTTGAATGAACAATTACTCGTATAGATGATTGATTAATCAATAATCCTTTCGACCATTGTGATTGAATAAAAATTGAAATAAAAAATAAAATAATTATTCTTTTTGTGATCCTTTTGATCTTGATCAAAAAAAAAGATAACTAAAAGATCATTTCTAGTAATATCTAATAATGTATTTAATCGTTAATCGATTCAAAAAATATATACAGACAATGATTTAATAGAATAGGCTTCTTTTCTTAAATTGATTTCTCAGAAAGTGTAATAAACATTTTTACAATGTCTAAAATAGAAAAATTTTTAAGCGAAAGAGGAAAACCGTTGGTGGTTTATGACTCTCATATATACAATTTAGAATGAAGTACTGATGTAAAACTTATATTTCGATGTCAGAATCGTGATTGCATAAAGGTAAAATATAAATTTTCAAATAATAGGGGTGGGTTTACTTTGTTCAATGTAATGTTTTTTGTTAGATGTTATGTTTTCATTTACTATTTAATAAAGAAAAGAAATTAGAATAAAACACCTACTCATAAGTATATAATTATGTTAATACATAATACTTCAAATTAATGAACGTATGAAGAATTGTCCTTGCAACGAATTGTCCTAGTGCCCTCACACCCACACTTTAACATTTTGACTCAAATCCGACATTATGTAAAATTGCAAAATTAGAAAACGCCGATGAAAAAAAAGCGAATTTAATTTCACATAGAATCTTCCTTTGAATAACTGCAACGAATATGAATTAGAACTCGCTTCGATAAATAGTAAGTTATACGGTGGTCGATAGAAATACTTTTTACATAAATTACTGTCGATCTTTTCATACAAATAGTGTATTCTTTTCATGTTTGACCATAAGAGTATAGAGCTCGATGACTATAAATTTCGATCGACTTTTGGATATTTCCTTGAGTATTGATATATTTATGAGAAGACTAAGCTTCATACAATCATAGAACTCTCTTAATAGAATTGCCACTTTAGTATTACCAGAAAAAACAGATCGTAAAGATAAGCGCAACATATGTGCATCACTATTCATGGCTATATTATCTAACAATTAGGTGTTTCGTAAGACTAGGTTTTTGGTATGGGTAAGTATCGGTGTGGATGCGAGTGTAAATAGTGTGTGGGTGCGAGTCTTCGCTTCACTCACACCGTATACCCTCATCCAAAACGTACATATAGAACATAAACTATTCTTTGTACGTTGTGGAACTTTTCATACTGCATCTTGTGATATATTTTGTTTTTGAAATAAATGTACTAGATGATACAGAAAAGAAATACAAAAACCAGACATTCATTATGGGTCACCCGTTAGTATTTATTATGAATTAAAAATGTCTTCAGATGTTATAAAGTGGCTAAAAGCAAAGTAGATGTTTATTTAACACGATATATATCAAAAATACATATATTCTCTTGACATTAATTTTTATTGGTCCTCTCCTTCCTTTTTTCTATTGCTACAATAATATGGAATTGATGTTGCTTTTGTCTACTTGATAGTGTGATAAAAGAAGAGAAAATCAAGGCTTAGTATATCGTTCAATCCCTTTTCTCCACCACGTGGCCACTGGACCAATCAAACGACCTTTTAGAAAGAGATGGATACTTGGTGAATAGGACCACATCATTGGCATATTAGACAGACGAATACTCTATTTATAAAGTTATTGTATCAGGACTCTTCTGCAACCGCTATGGAGGATAAATGGTTAATGATCTGCATATGCATTCTTATAGATAACGTCAATTTACAGAGAGGAATCAAAACTTTTCGACCATTCTTTGTACTTTTTTAGTTTCGGTTGTAACAACTTTTTTTCCGTAGTCTCGCTCTTGATCCTGATCATCGGGACGAGACTAAAGACTGGTCTCATGCATCTCTTGTTAAGGCCCTTAAATTTCTATAGAGCAGAAAATTCTCTATCGTTTTCATGTCTAGGAATGATTTCTCTAGAAACTTTTCATAACCGTGAATAAGACAAACCAAAAGTGTAACTCGTTACATAACAACTGAATTATTTATTTATAATTAGAATAGTATTGCAAATATCGTTATACGTTTATTTCGTATATATTTAATAGAAGACACTACATAAATCGAAAATAATAAGCATTATATATATATAAACGTATTGAAATACTATGAGATAGAAATACCATATAGAGTTTTTTAGAAGGCTAACTTAAAAATATTGCACGATTAATGTTTATAAGATTAATCAAATCAGTGAAGATTTAAGAACGTTTCGTACATGGATGTTCTCGTAAAAATTCTATTTCAGCTGATACTGTATCATGAAATAATGTTTCATAGGTATCAACTTTACCATCTTCGGATGATTTAAGTTTATTAATAATTTCCATAATTCCTTCATGTTCAAAATCTTGTAAACGTTTATGATCGACAGTTTCCCATTTAGCTTTCTGATGTGCTGTATATAATGGATGAACACGTTGTGATGTTACTTCTTCAGGTGTTGAAACAGTTAATGGACCTAATTCAACCTTATTTGAAAAAATAAATGGTTTAAATAATGATCGTTTTGAATTTGGTGTTCCAGTTAAAAAATGACAAGCATCTAATTGAGATTTTTTATTTGTTGTTAAAACAGACACTTGAGAACTTGCTGTATGTATACCTCGAACTTGATCAAATACACAAATACCAGCTTGATCATCACGTAAAATAGATATCATGTCAAAAATTGAAAAATTACCATTTTTAGTTAAATCTTCAAGTAATTTACGACCAGCTTTAAATCGTGCATCGGTACATGGTGATGGACCTTGAAATACCTGAGCAAAATTTAATTTATCTTTTCCATCCCATAAATTTTTTTCTTTAGCAAATTCTTCTAAATTATTTGATTTCAAATTATAATCATCTTCAATAGCATATACATTTGACATGTTGTAATATCCTTCTATAATTAGAAAAAAAAAACGACAACATTAAATATTTCGATTAATTTTATCAACAAAATAGATTCATTTTTCACCTTTAATTTGTTTAGCAACCCAAACACGATCACATGTTTCAATACTCCAGGCTTCGTCACCATCGACGACAAGAAAACTATTATCATAACCGCCGGACATTTTCGCACTTGCATCAAAACAAGCTCCACCTTGACCATATTTTTCAATCAATTCACCAATTATTTCAACAGCAGATTTGGCTGTTTTAGCACGTTCTAATGCCAGTCTGAAAGAAAACTCATTTTGATCTTCAGTTTTTGATTGTATATACAATGAAATTTATTAAATTATTGATTCATATTCGGTTATCCAAGAGAATTCAAAATAATTCTTGAAAAAATTAGCGCTAAAGACCTTTGTACAGAGAAGGTGTCAGTAAAAAAAAGACTAATGTTAGCGAAACTGCGAATTGCGGCAGCATTTGTGAAAACTAAATAGTACATTTTGTAGACAACTTCTGAGACTGTAATATCTCTATCCAAAGTTTTTTTTTCTCATATGGTTAAAGAGATATTTGCTAATTACTTTTCAATTAATCATCAGCTGAAAAAAAAACAACAGTTTTACATATGTTTATGCTAAAAGAACTTATTCAGAAAAATAATCTTTGTAAAAAATCAAAGTTAAATGAAAGATATGTAAGAGAACTGATGATTAGAAACCTTCATTCTTTTCATATCTACTAGTTTTTTTTAAAGAATATTTAACTGTTACTGCGGCAAAATGTAGTTGATAGATATTGTTTGATTGCAATTCTTCTAGTTCAAAGAATCTAAATCGATTTATGTGTGACATATCCAGAGTTTGTCATCTACTATCACTTCATATATTCGTTGTATTTCGTTATTTAGTCATTTGCTAATTACTGTATTGAATGTTGTAACTAAGATGATGAAGTTTTTAATCAAATATTATTTGAAAAATACTTTCAACAAATCGATTATGCATAATTAAGCATGACTACTAATTTAAATACTTGCTGGAACAAAAACTTGATTAATTCTTTTTTTGTAGGGTTTTATCTACTAGAATCACTACTTTTTGTATGATCTAAGTATCATCATGAGAAATTGTGATAATAAAGTATTTCAAGTGATACACTATTTAATATTAAAATGAAAAATTTTTTTGTTCAAAGAAAATCGACAAAAATATTTTTTTTGTCTTAAATTCTTATCATCAAAGTAGAACGAATTGAATTACAATATATTCTAAGAATTTCTATTGAATATTATAAATATCTAATCATAAATACTAACCGAACAATATCGAGACCAGTCAATGAAGGTTTTCGTGTATCATATGGTACTTTTGAAAATACGGCTTCATTACCAATACATATGCCATGTTCATTAGCACCCATTTCTGCACCCCAACTCCAAGCTGGTTTTGATAAAACACATCGATAAGTTGTTGATATTTGTGGAATTTGAATATGAGTACACTGAGTTAAAAATAAGAGAAATCAAATTGATTCAAAGATAATTAAATATCAAAATAAAAATATCATACTCGAACAAAATCCTTATTATCACTTGTATGTTCATTAGAAACAAAAATAATTTCTTGAACTTCATTTACTGGTCGATCAGAATTTTTACCAAATATATGAAAATTTGAATCTGTTAATGGTGGTAAAACCACAAATGTATCACATGAATAAGGAAGTTTTTCATTTGACATGATTATAAATATCTAGTAAATAATGAAGATATTACAGAAATAAATAAATAAAAATAATAAAACTATCTACTTACTGTATCTGTCTGTCTATATGTCTATTGACAAAACAGACACCAATCAACTTTTGACTATTAATAGATGGCATACTTGTATTATATACTTGATATATATACAGTGGTTTGCAAAAAGACTTGGAACAAATGTTTAGTCTGTATTATAGGCTAGTTCAACTGTTTCCAAAAAATTTTGTTTTTATTTGGTAGGCAGCCGTTCAAAGTCCTACAATTTATAGTTCAAAATTATATTCGTTCTACTTTCATTTGGTAACAAAGACACATTTATCTTTTTTTACAATGACTAAAACTAATACAACATTTTCCAATGTTCATACTTGAAAAAATTCAAATAGCGTTAGATTGTAATTTTGAAAATGATTAATCCATATTGTGTACGTTATTTCTCAACCAATTCTCTTGATATCACCTCATTATATGGTTTCATGAGTTGACATGATATGCAGCTGTACCAGGGATCAACCGTACTTTTTCGGCTTGTGACTACTCGTTTTTCTATAGAGTGTTGAATTCTTAATTTTTAAAAGTCATAATTGATTGTAGACAGTATTACCTTTGTATATCGACGAACTTTCCTAATCGGATGCATTCCTGTGTTTCAAAAATATAATTGAGAAATATGACATAGTTTTCAACTGCCTGGGTTTACTCTGTCAGCCTGATATTCTGTAACGAGAGAACAACAATCAATCGGCTATGAGAAAAGTTTTGGTGGATAGTCTGCTCAGTATAAATATATAATAGTTGCAGAACAAAATCTTAACAGAATCTAGAAAACTAAAAATGTTTGTGCTCCAAGGTTGTTCCAACTCTTTTTGCAAACCACTGTATATTAATTGAACAGTTTGTTATGTCATCTTTATTCTAAAATTATTTTACTATTCTATTAAACTTGCATACATCTTGCCGAATTGATCGTATACTGTTTTTGATAAAAATATGAAATCTTTTTTTTTTCTTAATATGGGTTATTCTTGCGTATTCGATCAAATATTTACAACAATAACCTAATACATACTCACTGAAAGTTAGTGTATATACATCACTCTAAATATATTCTCCTCTTCAAATGAATAATTCAATGGTGAATCAAGCATGAACATAATCATTATCAAATACCAATATTTCAAACCCATTTCGATCGTTTTATTTAGTTGTAGGTCCTTGTCAATGGATATTAAGGACAGATAACAAAGCAGTTTTTACTATCAAACGAGCCGAACTCATCTGCATTTCTAAATTCATATATAATTATGTAGAACAAATTCAAGCTTAAAAATAATTATATACACATAATGATAAATTACTATGAAGAGAGGAATTTTGTTATTTATATTCAATCTTAGTTTTCATTTGATAATTTTCAAGAATTTAAATTATTGTAATAACTGTGATAGTATCGAATGTTTCATGCTAAGGTAAGACTAAATAAATGAAATAAAAGTTTTTGTGATGAAACGTTTTCATTTCTCTAGAAAATGATATGCAAAATAATTAGAGACGATAAAATCTATTGAAGCTATTCTTGTGCTGAAAAATTGACAAAGAGAAGAATGGATTAATCAACAACAACAAAAACGCACTATTTGAATACTGATTACGATGGCCTTCATCATTAATATTGTTTGCTCGTATTTTTTTTTTTTTGTTAATCTTTTCAATCAATCATTCTTTATTCTTTTATTTCAAATTTTAGTTATTAATAAAATAATGAGTACTATAGTATCGAGATCTTCTTCAGTCAATCTCTTCAGTTGTAATCAGTATGATTAATATTTGAATAGCTCAATGTATCGAAAATCATGATTTCTATGAATATCTCGTAGGTTATTTCTTTCGATATATAGTTTTTTCAACTAGTTTTTATTATTTTTCTTTCTATAATTATGTATGTAGCGAATGTACAAATAATTATTGAAAATGGTAAAAGATGGTCTCAAGATTTTCAAAATTAATACAATACTTCATCGACAAAAATGTTGTATGATATGAATATAACTGTATTTCCTATACTTGCTAGCATTCTTTCAATCGGTAAGATTTCTTATTTAATATTTTAAAGATGTATAATTGAATTCGGTAAAGTATGCAAATGTAAATATTCTTATTGAAGACAATCAAAATGGTGTAATCTCTGACATTGTAGCACTTATGTGTAGATATATTGGTGTTTTTTAAGTTATATATAGGAAAGTATGTTAATCTATTGAAAACTATTTGATCCTTTAGGCTTCAAATTCTTTAGACGGAAAGATTACGAGAAAGACCATCGTCATCAATTTAATCAGTGTCATAATCATTTCAACATTTTATTATTTTTTGATTCGAGTGTATATATCTATAGTGAATTTTGAGTGATAATTAGTTCAAATGAAGTGCTTTCTCTTGACTAGGCACGCACCGAGTCCGAACGTTCGGGTTCGGTCTTCACTACAGTCATTTTTACTTAGTTAGGAAAAGGAATCAGATATAAGCCAAAAAATAAGATGCGATGGAAAAGCCTTTGAAAAAAATGGCAAACTCTGTTATGCCATATTGCCGACTGCTAAATCAAGAATTTTTTTTAACTAGAAGAAAATTCATTTCCATCTAATACCTTTTTTTTCTTTTGAGAAGATAGAAAAGTCGCTGACAGAATTTTATCCTGTACATAATTCTGCCGCTTTATATATTTTATGTTTCTAATTCTGTCGAATACATACAAAATACTTAGAGCTAATAAAGATACACTTATAGATGCTACCATAACTAAAATAAATTAGAATCTTTCTTATATTATCTGAAATCTGTACTCAGAAGCTATATGCCTGTATGAATCGAGCATCAAACGACCCTATCTGACTCTTATTTCGATTATATTTATTATTCTATCTTTTTTACCTAGAAAATAATCTTTAGAAACATAATTGTGCCACAATTAGGGGTGATCCTTTATCTTTATTTTATAAAGTAATACTAAAGGACCATCCCTACTAACAGTTGAACCTTTTTATATACGAATCCAAATACGAACCCTATAACCGAACGCGAACTATAAGATCGAACTCGAACCCGAACCCTAACGTCGAATCGTTCAGTCCGAACTCGAGTTCGGGTTCGCTGCATGCCTACGCTTGACACACTTGTGTAAGAAATAATAATTAATTATGAAAATATTGAAAAAAAAAATCTTCCTTGTGATTCTGATATTGATCGGTTTTAAAATTTTAAGATGGCATCGAAACAATGTAACGTCAGTTAATATTTCATGGATAACAGAGTCCGAGTGACATAGGATCTTTACTTTTGTGGGATACGTTCGTTATATCTAACGGAACTTATAATTGATCTTTCGATTCTGCAACGAATCATTCATGTTGTTCATAATTATCGTTCTGATGTGTTTGAACTATTTCGTTGATGTTGACATCGGTTTATCGCGTTCAATACAATAGACTATAGCTCATGATATTGGAATAGAACTAAAAATCCAACTTGAAACAATAGGTGAAATTGAACGAACTTTCTCTCATCTAGATTTCGAATTTACACATATGCCAGTTTTTGAACATAAGAAGATTGGATTCTGCATTGTTTTTGTAAGTTTCATCGGCAAGTAGTCAATAATATGATGTTTATCAGTCGAACACAAATTATTTAAAGAACGAAAGCTCATTCACATACCTATTCTACAAATCTTTTCTGTCTAAGAAATAGGATTCTGATCGATTCTATTAGTAATTACATGACTCTCGGTCATACTTTAGGCCATCATTCTCTGTCAATATTAGCAATAATACAGTTGCATAATTAGATTATGTTGTCCGCCAGATAATCTTAATAGATCGACGTATTTGTTAAAATCAAGATGATTTATATTGCAAAGAATCATTCCACTGGCAGGCGCTAAATCTTATGAAAGTATCGTACAGTATAGCATGAAAATTATCTACAAACATAGCTCGGTTTTCTCACATATATGAATAGTCTTAATTAATGATGAAGTTTTTATTTTTTAAATAAATTCTGTTTTCTAATACTTTCGATGTTTTCTCTCTTGTTTTACTCTTTTTAATCGAAAAAGAAATAAAAATATCAAACATTTATATAAAAGAGTTCTCTCTTATATACGTCTAAAAATATGAAATCAAGTTCCAAACATTTTTATGTAGAGTTTAGTTTAAAATGTTCGTTTACTAATTCCAAGACATCATTCATAAATTCATTATTAGATAGTGGTTGAGTATGATTATAATGACTGCATGACTCTCGTGGATTCATACATACAAGTTTCTTGCCAATATCTCGATTTGTTAAGATGATATATTGACACTTTCCACACTGTGTAAAATAATAAGGATTTGGTTTCTGTGGTACACCCAAATTTCCCGATTGATTCATTAGGTTTTCAACAGAACCCACAAATGAACAAACATAATTTTCAAGATGTTTAGCATCAAATGCTTGTGCATCATACCAATCATACGTACATGTTGTCGAATTATTATCTTCAAACGTATCGATATATTGACGTTGTTGTAAATGTATGGGTGTTGATGAATCACGCATAATATTCACAAGTTTATCAGAATTATTAGATAATATAGCCTTTATTTGTTCTTTGGTTTTTGACATCTGAAATCAAAGAATATAAGTAAGTAACACATGTTGTTTGGAAATGAACAAAAAACAAAACGATCTAAGATAAATTGCTTATCAGCAGATGTAATTTCACAACGTATTAAAAAGTTTTGAATGATTACAATGACGTCAGACATTGTCACACGAGTTATGACATAGAAGAAAAAGACAAAAAATTGACTCATAATGTATTTACGTGTCTACCATAAATATGTTTGTCAATATTTAAGTAGCTCTTATATAATTATTTTTCAATTTATTTTGTAAACCAGATAATATCAATGGAAATTTCCTCGATTATCATTCTTACAATCTTTTTTTCTTTATTATGATTTAAATATCGTATATTAACATCGAATCAATTTCAAAATCTTTTGTTAGAATGATGTTGATTGTATTATCGACGTTAATATCGAACTGATGAATAAGTTATGATTTTGATGTTTTCATATACACTTATTAAATTGGTATGTTCTGGTATAATTGGATTTTAAATTGTAGCAAAATATCTTTTGTTCAAACAAAACCGTACTATTTTAATTGATATGAAAAACCATAATGCAAAAACAGAAAAAAAAGAGAAATTCATCAACAGATAAATGTATGTTATTATCTTTTTTTTTTTGTTAAAACTTCAACTCGTTTTTTCTATGTTTATGATTTGAAATTAAGAAAAAAAGGGTTTTAGAATTTCTAAGTTGAGTCGGATAAAACGGGGTAAATCTTCTGACGGTCTATGAATTGAAGCGAATTGAGTAGATGAAAAAAAGTATCATCCATCAATGGAGTTTGATTGGATCGGAAAAATTATTTCTAATCTATGATTGAATTGAATTACTACACTTTTTGACGTAATTTGTTCAACTCTGCAACGACAATATTATTTATAAGAAAAATTATTTCGAGATTTATTTTTCGTTGCTTGTGACTAATGAATATTTCTATACAATTCTCTTGTTTAGTCTAACAAAGCATTCGATGCAAAATAATATTCACATGCACACGAAAAAAAACACAACTCTAGAAATATTGATATATTCTAATTATCGAGGAATAGAAGAAACGTTTCTTTTTTAATTTTCATATCAGCAATGACTGTATTTATTTAGTTGATCGATATCATGAATAAAAGGTTAGCCAAAGCTAGTCATTCTACTGATGTGTGGAAAGATAAAGCGAATAGCCAATTCGTTCATACACACAGATCTCAGAGTATCATTTGAATCACAAGAGCATAAGACTACTTTATATTTGTATTATAGAAAATTTTCTATTGATTCAACTAGGTGTCCATGTTGACGGAATTGATAACGATAATCATCACAGTACAATTACGACAAGTTATTAACGCTTGATATACCTTGACTGATATCGACCAATGTATTGATTTCATCGCGAATGTCAACTATGAAAAGACTGTTATGGTTTTTTTTTCCGAAGTATTTTGCCAAATGATTGTATCAAAACAAGGTAAACGATTAACAGCGGACAAAGCAATTGCTAAATGTTAATGGTGTCTTCACGAAAATATTATTCTACGATGAGGCACTCTAATAAATTGCACAACAATGTGATCAGAACTATGGTGTAGGGTGAGAGTGCAGAATAGGCAAGTCCCTGTATTCACATTTACACCCTCTATTTATACATAAAATCATATTTCAGCATTCCACAGTAAATTCGTTTTGCACTAACCACATACGGCGAAATGTTCCGATATTATTTTACATTATTCTGTATACCAGAAAGCAAATCCGAATTTGAACTTAATTTCTTAATTATTATTGACGTAATATTACGTGAGCACAATCTTCCTGAAAATGTAAAGGCTAGAATTGTTTAACTGTCCCTTTGTTTTGTGACACTTGGCATTGATTCTTACGTGCTCTATCGATAGTAACTTTTTCTCTATTGCTTCTAACATTTGATATCGATTCGGTTCATCTTTTTCAAATGTGCTATTTTTCATGTTCAGTATTTTTTTTGATAAAAAAAATTAAAAGAATTTTATAAGATATTCATGATTCTATTTGATTTAGCTATTTTGAATTCGTATCATTTATATAAAAGAATTCAGAGTATGAGCAATGACATAACAACGTAATTAAATCGCTATTGATAAACGACAGCTACTATGTATAAGTAAATATTCAAAACAAGAAATATATAAGAATTAAGTCACCGTGATATTAAAAAAAAAACTAAGATAAGACAATGATCACAGATGCATAAAAATAAATTATTAATTCTACTTATTAACAGCTGTTGCCTTTTAATATAGGGATAATTGTAGCAGATGTTGATGCCTATGTAATCATAACACATAATAAATATAACTTATTGTAAAAAAATATGAAAGCTGAAGAAAAAAAATCAAAATGTCAACTTGAGTTTTAAACCAAGCGACAATAGTATTCTCAAAAATGGTCTTTTCGATCAAGTGAAGTCGACGAGTAGCGATCGATTATTCAGGATGAATGCACGAAAATGTTCTATATAGCATTTTTAATTGCAGGAAGGAGAAAATCGCCAAATACCATTATTCTAATATCCAGTTTGTAAAATTAGCCCTTTTTTTTGTAGGTCGTAATACAATATCAGCTATATATTCTTTGTTTCAACAGGCATGTTACTCTCTCGAAATATTGTTTTCTTTTTTGTTCGAACTGACAAGGCCATCACTCCCAGGTTCCCATATCCTATTCTTCTAGAGTTATGATCACTTCACTGGATTGTTTACCCTTAGTATAGTACTTATAAAAAAATCGAACAAACAAATTCTGACCGAAAAACTTTGTCTGTCAACAGCTCTTGAGACTATTGGCATATTCTAAAAGTTTCGGCCAAAAAGAGTGATTCTTTCTTGAGATATTAAATCTCTACCAGATTGTCTGTCTCAAGAAGAAATCGCTCTAGTTGACTAAAGTTTTTAGGATATTCTAATGGTTTCAACAACTGTGTACGGACAAAGTTTCAGGTCAAAATACGTTTGTTCGATTTTTTTACAAGTACCATACCAAGAGTAAAAAATCCAGTGAAATGAACGTAACTCCGGAAGGTTAGTATGTACCATCTTAGGTGGTTTTCTTATGAGTTTCGGCAATTGAACGATCGTATCAAATATTTACATATAATTCTTATGATTAAATTTATTCTTTATTAATAATTGATACAAACTATCTACAGATAAAGGTGCATTGACTATCTACATCAAGATCGTGACAAAACAAAGATAGTAAATTACAATATGAAAAATACAAACTATGATAAATCAATTTGCATTGAGCAATAAACATACATATCATATGTCTAATATAAGACTTAAAAGTCTTTGATAGTTATTTCTATCTGATCAAGGAAGATCTGTTGTTTTATCATAAATCATTGGTACAAATTTATTTTCTGGTATTTTTGCATCTGAATGATTTGCCCGATTATATAAATCCAATACAGCATAGATTAATATTAAACTCATCAATGCTAATAATGATGTCATAAATATTAATAATGATCGACCTAATAATAAATGTCTTTTATATTTATCATATTGTTTTGTACGTTGACGATTTAATTCATTATAAACATCATTACGAATTTTTTCTTGATTTTCTTCAGTAAATATATTTGATTCTAATAATGGTAAATCATCATCATCATTTAATTGAAAATGTACATCAAATATATCTTGTGCACGTTTAATTGGTCGTTGATTTCGTCGACGATTTAAATCAATACGTTGATCAATAGAAATATTTTTTGATTTTTCATGTAATTCTCGACGTTTTGCACGAAGTTCTTGAAGAAATTTATTTGTTATACGTAATGGATTTGTATCATAATTATTTGATTGTACTGTTGAATATGTATCATATTCTTCTACTCCATTACCAATAGCAATCTTTGTTTGACTAGTTGTAGATGAAAATTCGGAATTTGATTCAATTTTATGAATAGCATCAACTGATGAACTCTTCTTTAATTGATTATTATTAGATGCAATTGCTGCTGTCATTGTAGCACGACGATGAATGTCTAAAGATTTTCGTAGTAAAGTTGTATTAAATAAGCGTGATGATATTCGATTTTTATTCTTTTCATTGATTGATGGAAGGGAAGCAGGTAATGGTGATGGTGGTGAAATTTCATTTTCGATATGAATTAATGGAATCATTTCAGATCGTTCAATTGATGAAGCATTACGATTTGGTTCAGGTATAGGTGTTATTTCGAAACGACGTGATGCCATTTATCTGAAATATTTTCATATAAATGATTTTGTTTTGTTCTAAATTCTATTTATTTGTTGTTTTTTGTCTAACTACTCATGTGATTTAAAGTGGAGCAAAACCACTGATAGGCCTTTCAGTATACTGAGAATTGTTCTCTAACCAGCAATCTACTGCGCCGGTATGCTGGCGATAGTATGAATAAACGTGCAACATGCGTATTCATCATTGTTGTTTTGTATTTGGACTATTATCTATCTACAGAAAATATTGAAAGAAACGACGTTTAATCATATCATAAAAATTGTAATTATCTCTATGCTCACATGTACAGCCCTGTAACCGATTAGTAACACTACAGAAATCATCAATTATTCTGTCAATATATATGTCAAAAACTGACTTTTGAATCTATTTTATATGAAATAAAAAGTTTTAGTAGAATAAAATGTACACCATATTTTTTTAATAAAGTACTTTGTTTCTTTATAAGTTACTTTGATCTTTTATACTTCCGAACATTGTCTGTGAATAAGAACATGTGTTTTATCAATAGAAGTACTTTAGTTATAAGTATATGTGTCAAATAAAATTAAACAAAGTTTTTAAAAGATTTCAAAACTGAAAAAAAAAATCGAAAAAATGATACGAGAAAAGAATATCTGAAAACACGTTTAAATGCCTTAAACGCAGTTTAAAAAAAAGTAACTATTGCATTTGAAAAACGTACAAAAACTTTTCTCTCAATATTTTTTAACATACATCATACATAAAAGAATCATTTTTATCTATAAAACAAGTCAAAATATTGTGGAAAAAAAATTTTTTGTACATTTTCTAAATGTAAAAAACGTCTTTATGTACCTTTTATGATGAAAATAGTTGATTTTTGTGTTTAATAGATGGATGTGAAAGCGCTCAAACATAAATCGTAAATGTGAGCGTCAGTGAAAAGAAGACCTACAATCACGCCCACACCCGACACCTTCTAAGCTTATGCTTTTTTTTTTTTATTGATGTTTGTTTGGGTTTAAATTCAACGCAATTCATTTACAATATACAAAAAGTATGAATATATGATTCTCTTAAAGTTTTGTTGAATCATTTTACGACTCAAAAAATAAAGGATTTTTTTAGCATACGCATTTTCTATAATAGAATAATAATTGTCTTCTCTTGAAAGTCAATATTCTAAGAGTTTTCAATATTATTTTACTTGTTCATAAGAATACTTTCAGAAATTATTGTCTGACGTCAACGCAAAAGAAGTCATTAATATATATATTACAACATGAATAAGTGGAAATGAACACTCTGTCTAATAAAAAAAAACAACAGGTATGTGTTCTATTTTCTTTATGTAAACGAAAATTAGAATTTTTTTTTTTTCAGAAAAGAATATTATTTCGTAGTATTGTATCTAATTAAAAATGAATTCTACCTAAGTTTCATTTTGTCTATGATATATATATATATATATCCGTTTTTCATGTTACCTTCAAGAATATTGTAATCGTACACCAAGTTCAAGAGATTCTATTTGTAGATTCAATAAAGGATAATTCAATGTGAAAATTTTGGGCATATAACTATTTAGAGTTTTATTTCAACATGAAGAATTATTAGATTATGAAGCAAAAATTTTAACTGATGTTTCCAATAGAAAAAAAAAAGCATCGTGTTATGTTGCTCATGTCAAGTGTTCTGATAAGAAAATGTTAATAATTACTTTACAGTCAAAAATAATCCCATGATAGATGTTAGTATTGACATTTATGTTACATCTATAACGAATGTTGAAGTCATATTTCTATCTATCATAAATGTCATTTTTTGTGTATGTATTATATACGATAAAACTTCTTCGATGCGTCAATATTCTTCTCTAATTTATTTATCTCAATAGGACTTACTCGAGGCACTCGCGATTTTTTAAGAGGGTGAACGCACAAAAAAAAAGAAATATTCGGTTCTGCTGGAAAAAAAAACCCAAAAAAATTTTCTTGATTGGATGAGTGACAACATCTCCCTTCTCTAGTCGAACCATCCCTGTATCTCAATTAGATAAAATACTTATCTTGTAAGGAATTAAAATATTTTCAAAGAATAGATTTTAGATTAATAAAAATTTTATTGTAATCATATAATAAATATCATTCTATGAGAAAATAAGTATAATAATTAATTCTTTAATTATAAATAAATTTTCATTGGTCTATTCAATCACTAATAAATAATTGGCGATACAATCGTCAAAAAAAAAATCATAAAAGAATTCATGTATTATATTTAAAAATCTTTCTTTTTGTCATGAAATATTTTTTAATTTAATGAAAATTTATGAAATTCTATTTCATTATTTCAATTGGTTAATTTCTTACCGAAAAAAAAAAAACATATACATTTTAAAATAACAACAAGTAAAACTCATCAACAGAAATCTCAAGAAAATATTTATGGCATACTATTTGATCAATTCATAGGTTTCTTTTCTTTTTTCTTGTTTTCTTTGAGATTAAACTCAATGTTTTTTGATCTTGATTTCCACTTGGATAATATTCTAATTATATTTTTGAAGGACATGTCATGCGTCAACGTACGCACGCATCCAATTTATTATTTAAGAAAAAAAAAATAAAACATAGAAGTAAAATCTTAACTATAAAAAATTAATTTAGGTTCATGTTATCTTTTTGTTTGCATTTCAAAAATAATTTTTTTTTTTTTCGTCCTTTTATTTGTTTTGAGATATTATATAACAAAAGAAAAAAGAGAAAGAAAAATCACAATGCCATATTTTAAATCATTGGTCGTCTATTAAAAAACATGAATTCGATTCGTATCCATTACATTGACAAATAAATTATTCTGTAAGTTACATATTTCTATTTTTTTTTCTTTTATTCTCCCCTTATACATATTCGTTTATTACTTTTTCTTTTAGATTTTGTCTTTTTATTTTTTTTTTGCTTTCTTCATTTCTCATCGTTTTTCTTTTTTTTTCCTTCCTTCTCCTTAATACTTACCGGGTTGCTCACGTTCTTTTTGGTTCGTTTAATATAGTACTTCTTATTTCTGTTGCCTCATATTATTAATACTCACGATGAGTAGTCCACGTAAATTTGCTGAAAAAATCGCTCTCATTCAACAGAAACAAGCAGAAGGTGATGCAGCATTTAATACAATTATCTATGAAGTTGAAGCTGCTAAACAAGTATGAAACGAAAAGAAAAAAAAAATTCATAATACAATAGAAAATTATATTTAATAAAAAAAAAAAACAATTATTTCTAGAGAGCTGATCGTGTATCATCAATAAAAAGTAAATCGGATATACCTGCACAAACATATGAAGTAAAGTTATTTTATTAGTAAATTATAAAAAGTTTTATTTTGATATTATTCAGATACCAAATGGGATAAATAATTCAGATAGTAATAATTATGTTAATCAATCTATAAAAGTATGTTATGAATATTTTAATAAGTATAAATCTAAATGTGTTTTTTCAATTTAGATTGATAATAACAATTGTTCCAATCGATTATTACTACCACCTGATAATTCATCATGGCGACGGTAATAGAAAAATAAATTAAAGAAATTCTAATTATTAATTATATCCTTTATTTTTATTATAGAGCTCATTCGGATCCATCTCTTCATCAAACTGTGATGCCAACAGTTATTACACACTATCATGCTCAACTTGATAATGAAGATAACAGTTTGTATTCTAAATTTTCTTTTTTTTCTTTTTTGTCAAATATAATTTTTCTTTTTTTCGATTTATCTAGATCAACAATTAAATTTTGATATTAATGATATTAAATATGAACCAACTTCATATAATAATGTTCATAATCAACCTTCTCATCATTTACAAATATCAAATTCACAATTTCAATCACAAAATTATTATGATTTAAACAATAATAATTATACTAATAATGAAACAAATATTTTTTATCCATCAATACAAACATTATCAGTACCACAACAAACTATTATACCTTCAACAACTAATAATACAATTTTAAATACACGATATAATAATGTAAATAATAATTCAAATATTCTTATGTTACCACCAAATCAACATGCACGTAATGGTGGTTCATTACCTGATTTACGTTGTGGAAATGTCTATAATAATAATAATAATAATAATCAACAATTATCATCAACATCTATGACACAACAATTTTTACGTTCACCTTCACCACAACAAAATAGTGATGGAGATTTATTTGTTTTGGTATTATACAAAAAAAAAACTAGAATATTTTAATATGTGATAACTCTTTAGGGTCCACAACAACAATCACCATCAAGAATAGGTCCGTTAAAGCCAAGTCCAAGTATACGTCGACGCCATAGTCCAATTGGTAATGTTAGACAATCATCACCACGTCGACAAACTTCTCCATCACCTGATATGTCTCCAGTAAATTTTTATTTTTTATATTTAGAAAATTTATTAATCAAAATCATTTAAGACTCAACAAACTTTTCATCGTATTGAACCACAAAGTCCACAATCTCAATCAAGTTATTCGCCACAAAATTCTCCTATTTTTTTACAAAGTCCCGGTAATGAACTTCCATCATATTCATCACAACAACAACAACAACAATCTACAGATAATCAAAATACTTATTATACATTACCAAATCATTTGGATCAGATTACATTGGTAAAAGATTTTCTTTTTTTTTTTTCTCTGATTTGAATTAAATAGAAAATAAATCAATTTTGATTTTTTAAGGATAATAATTTTTACGCTCAACAACAATCATCACCACCTTCATCACAACAACATAATAATTCATCATCAACAACATCTAATATAACAAATGATCTTCAACAACAAAGAAATTTTTATTCACCATTTATTGATGACATGTAAAGTTATTTTTGTTTTTTTTTAACATATGTTTTATGTCATATAATTCAAAAAATATACTTTTGTTTTATTTTACATGATTTAGGTCATCATCATCTTATTGTCATAATCAACCAACAAATCAAAGAAGTCCAACTATTCCAAATATAATTTTAACTGGTAAAAAAAAAAATATAAGAAATTATTTGATATTAGAAAACTGAAAATGTCAAATCGTATTTCTCAGTGTAACAAAAACAAAAGTCCGTTAGTTTCATGATTAAAATGTTTTGTTTACTCTTATTTTTAATATATTTTCCAGTATAAAATATACTCGAAAATTCCTATTCTGATATTCACATACATGAACTAATTTTGACGTACTCTTTTTTTTTCCTTAAATTAAACAGAGTAATTAACAAATGCTTAAGTCTTCCGTCTCCAATTGAGACATCCCCCGGATATAGATACGATATCGAGGAATAGATTTTCAATTAAATGAGAAGTTGTGTTCTGTACTACAGGATAGAACAAAAATTATTTGCACGTCTGTCTTATCACATAAGAGTGGGTCAGGATGGTGTCTGTGTGTTGTTTTTTTTTGCTTTCATTTTCATATAAAATTTTCATTTTTGCTTATATAATTAGTTAATTATTTTTCGGGTACTTGTAGAAATAGCTGATAATAAATGAATTGATTGAGTTACATTCAACATGAGAATTGAAAAGTTTCTATTTGATTTTGTTTTTAAATAATAAATGAAACAATTATTGACTTATATTTTTCTTATCTTAGAAACTCAAATATTTATCGAACTAGTGCATATTTTTGCATATTCAATGTGTAATTGTTACTCTTATTTTTCTTACTGTGAATATATCAGTCCTGCAATTTTAATTAACAATTTACTATTGGATTTCAATGTAAAGTACATAAGATCATATAACAAGATTGTGTTTCTTGTTTTCACTTGTTGTAATAAGTGGCGGGGGAAAGAATGTCGAAATGACACAGACATCTTGTCCTGTGCTTGAATTATATATATATATCATAGAAAATTATTTTTTATCAACAAATAATTTCTACTGTAGACATTTAAGTATAAAAGAACGATTTATAACCGAGAATAATACCATGTAAAAGAAGAACGTTATCGCATGTTTCGAGATTAATAGAATTCTCATGATATTAAATTGTTATAATATTAAAAGTAAAACATAAAAAAATCTTAGGAATGTGTTTATATTTGTAAATTCTAATTTCCGATAAGGAAAAAAAGCAATATGTATTTTATAGTATGTTATAGACTACATGCTTTACACTTCAAATATATCTGTAATTCTTACTGAGAAATGCTTCTTTTTTTTTTTTTCTTGTATTATTTTTAAGCGAAAAAACAACACACATTTGCAACAAAATGAAAAAACTCTATTGTGTTTGTCAACATTGACAGACCATTAGGGAATAATTATTACTATTAACAAAATTTTATTATAACATAACTCAAGTAAGATTATGCACTTAGATTGAATTATATATCAAAGAATGATACAGATGTAGATTGTTCTAAACTATCTACCAAAAAAATAATCTTTTTTATTTTATTCTAAAAAAGATGACTCGATATATTATTATTATTATTTTGCTAACATTAGATGTTGATTTACTAATGATTGATAGTATATTGAATATTTATTTAGAAACATCCTATAGATAAAATTTTCTTAATCATTTGTTTTTTGTTGCTTTCATAGATGTTGACAGTTCAAAATTAGATTTATCGAAAGAATTAGCCAATGATTTTTCAAATTCATTTGATAATTTACTTGATACAACTGATTTACAGATAAATGCCGAAGATTTTGTAAATAAATTTTTCATCTTAATATTTTTTTTTTTTTTGTATTTTCGATTTATTATATTCAGTTGCTCAATATGGCTGATCTTTCTGTTGATCCAATTAATTGTGATGATACATTTTGTATGGAACGCTAAAATGAAAATGACATTCAAAACTCAAATGGCCTATTTTTTAAATATAAATATATATATATATATAAATGAAAAAAAAATCCATTTCATATTCTTTTTATTCATTTTCAGTATTGACAAATTTTGTATATAAAAAATTGATTGTTTTATTTTTTTTTTTTTTTTTTTAATGTATGTTAATCTTCTTCAATAACAACTGATATTTAATATAAGCGTGTTGTTATATATCACGAAAAGAAAAATAAGAATTTTATTTTCTATTATTTCATTGTTTAATCTTTTTCTCTCTTTCGAAGTTTTTTTTTTTTTCTTTTGTTTTTGTCGTCAGATGCGCACAGAACAAATTATTTTTCCTCTATGAAAAACAAAAAAACAGAAATATCAATTGTTTTATAAAATAGAAACAAACAAAGGAAGTGAGAGAGAGAGAGAGAGAGAGAAAAAATAAAAAAAAAACTAAAAGATAAATAAGGAAAAAAACAAAAGCGAACAATAGAACTCAGGAAATTGAATGTAAGTGTGCTGTTAATGGACTTTTTCTTTCGTTTTAATGTTGCACGCTTTTATTTACTTTTAATTTCGTGTAGTTTGTTGTTGTGAATTTTCAATGTATGTGTTTCACATCAAAACATCATTAAAATGACGTATAACGCTCTTTTCTTTTTCGAAATGTACATATACACTAAGAAATGTTCTATTTTATGACACAATTTATAGCTTATTAATTAATTTTTTGTAGTTAGTTTATGTGATTTTCACCTGTTTTGTGTATGTAAATTTATCATTGTTTTCTATGTTCGTTTTCTGTTCCATTTCTCAGGTAGGGTCAATGTAACTAACCACTGCCATATTTTATTTGTTTCTTGCTTGAGGATATAATATACAAGTGTCTATATGTCTTCTTTACCTAGAATATTTTTTATTATGCTATATATTTTTTTTTCTTTTTCGTTGTACAGAAATTTAACAGTTAATAATAATAACACTAACAACAACAAAAAATTATTTATATATATCGAAGTAAAACTACTTTGTCGTTGATCACTTAGTGTTGAATTCTTTTAGGAATAATCGAAGTATATTTAACTATTAGACAACAAAAAAAAAAGAAACAAAATCAATGTTTGGTTTCGTTATCAATTTGCGATTAATATCTCCTAATTGTATCCAGATGTATCCTGAGGGAGAGATTATCCTCCACTCGGGAACATCACTGATTGTAGCCATGAATTCTTTCTTTTCTTTTTCGATTTGAATAAAAGATTATAATTAAGCATATTTTGACTGTAGGAAAAAAACAAACTTAACCATAACATATGGTAATAATTATTACACATATTATCATTAAAGACAAAAGTTAATTGGATAATTTATCCTAATATGTTGAACAAAAACTTACCAAATTTATCATAACGAACCAATTAAAAATTAAAAAAATTTAGCAGCTGTAAGACCAAAATATTCTCTACTTAATAAAAAATTATATAAATAGTGCATCATTATTCATTACTAAACTTACCTTTTTTTTTTTTTTTATTCATATTATCAGAAAATGGAACATATCTCTTGTTGCAATGTTGATAAATAAGCTTCATGTTTATTAATAATTAAACATGGAATAGCACAAAATTAATATCTTGCTATTTAACCATTTAATAAAAAGGAAAAAAAAAACATCATTGAAATGATCATATTCGTCAAATGAAATGTATTTTAAAGAAAATTTGAAAATCATCAGATAATTAATAATAAATCAAAAAACAAAATAGTAATTTCTGACAGAGAGAATTTATATTGAATGATGTATTGTTCAAAATTATTCTTTTGTCAAAAAGAAAAAAAATATATATTAAGTAACAATATTAGATTTTCTTTGATAAATTGAATCAATCAGCATTAGTTTGCAGAATCATTATGAACTTGATGATAGGACTTGGTCATTTGAAGAAATATTTGATTCTGTATGTATGTATAGCTCAATTATATATATCATTGTCAGTATATTGATGCTAAAGCTTTCGAACCTACCAGTTTATCTTCAGCATTGATCTTTACAGTAACTGCAAGAAGTCTCACAAATGGATAAAAAGTATATAAACTTCAATCCTTTTATCTGATATTTTGACTACGAATAGAGTGTGGTAAACTTTGATCGCAAGCAACAAACCCAGGTCGATAGGTCTTAATGCCAAGGATATACGAAGCAAAAACATGCTTTTCCGCTATTTAAATGGGTTAATCTACATTCTCTTATTAACAAATAAAGGTTTGCATGTCTATATTGTACCACAGATAGGGTACTTCAATCCGCTGTAGACTTAAGGCGACAGAAAACCTTCATTGTCTGTGGCTATCTTATCATAGATCTATTCTTCATGGATGACTACGATCGTAAAATTTTCAAGAAAAACTTGATTAGAGTAGGGTACTCACTGATGCAAATTTCAAGGCAAATGTTTAAAATTAGCCGGAGATATAAGTCACGTTTCGATAATTTCCATCAACTCTCATGTAAGGATTACCCTACAAATACTTCATCCATTAGCCAAACTAAAACTGCTTGACATGGAAGTTTTGTTATTGATAGAGGTCGCACTGAACTATCGGAATCAGGAATCTAGTGTCATGACGTTTGATTTATATATTGTGATATTCTCGTTTGAAGAAAAAAAAATCTATATTGACCTTGTAGCCTCTTCATATAAAGATCAATCAAGTCCTGATTAGTTAGATCTTGTGATCAGAGTTCAACATGCTCTATAATTAGTTTGTCAATTGTCTATCTATGCTGCTATCATTTAAAAATCGGTACTAAAGATGAATCGATAGGTTCAAACCTTTACTATCATTATTATGACAATAACATTTACAATTTACTTACACATACACACAAAATCAAACAATTCTTCATGCTTCAGTTTGAGTTCTTTCATTGTATATACTATTCTTATTTTCATGTGTTTCATATTTTGAACATTTTAGTGAAAATGTAGTGAAATATTCTTTTTTATTAATAATTATTTAAAAAAAAAACCTTCTTTGTAATGTAATGGATGACAATTCTATAATATATTTTTTTTTGATATATGCTTTTTTGGGTGATTGCTATGTTTTTCATTGAAAGATGAACATGTCAAGATGGATGAAAAAGAAAAGACTACATTCATTCGATATCTTAAAGATTTTTGCACTTTTTGGTCAGAAAAAAAAAAATTTTCTATATGTTATTCTCCTTTTTGTATTTATGTATTTGCATCTTCTTTAATAAAATGATTGTATAATATTTAATACTACCATTTATCTTTGTCTATAAATGTAAGAACATAACGTTAAAGTCAACTGTTTCTTTTTTGATAGGCTACTATCGATGAAATGCTTTGTCGAAGAAAATTTTCCGACTAACACAACGTGCTTACTTTTCTATTGAATGTCATAAATTATTAGAGATTAGTGACGCAATCAAAGGATCATAGATGATAAGGCAATATCTAATAATCTTAGAGATAATCCATGCAATATAATGCTAATGATGGTAATTATTACGTTTTTTCTTTGTTTCAGTGATAGGACAGCACCCGATCTAGTATATTCTTGATTACGCCACTACTATAGATAGTATCTTCATCAAAAGTAATTCTATTATCAGTTTCATCATATTTAATAGCCAACTGACAATTTCAAGTGTCATAATGATATTTGATCAAAGCAGTTCTATTGAATAGAAATGATCAATAGATTCTGCTTTTTGAATTTTTGTTTTAATATTGATCTGTTTTATCAGTTATTTTACTTTCGTTCAATAATATCTAATTGAACAATTTGCATTTTTATTACATTCAAAGGATGATTACTATTGATCATCTATTCAATATAAACAGAATTACAACATGATCAACTAAATATAATTTTCTCTTGATGATCCGATAAAATGAACACTTAAAAAACGATTGTTAGTAAAATATTCAAGTATTAATTACATAGAAAATATAAAGCAATTCAATAATGCTTCTACTTCTCTAATTACACTATTATTGATCTTTGAAGTGTCATTGAATAGCAAGAGAAGGTTGAGAGTTGTCATGAACAAATTCTCTTCTCGAAGAATAAATAAATCATTAAAGAAATATGTTAAATAATTAAAGAAAGAAATTGAATATTCAAAAAAACAAATGATCACTAAAATTATTTCGAACTTTAATTAATATTACAACTTAAATTAAGTTTCTACTGGATTAAATCAAATTAAAAGGAAACCTAAAAAAATATGTTTATTTGTCAAGAACAGCATATTATCTAGTGTATATATATACGTGTACTTTCATTGACACTTGTATGTCGATGACAGATCACTTGCGCAATCTTCAATGACATATGTCTATAGATGAGATGCCAATCATCGTCTTTTTTTTTTCTTGCATTTGCCTATAAATGGAAACCATATGATAGAAGGTCACATAGCATTTTTATTGCTTATTGCAACCGTTTTTGATTAGACATTTTTATTTTTTCTATTTATGATATTTTGTATGTCTATTCTTATCGTCATTGATAAGAGAAGAAGAAAAGTGAATGAACACATAAGTTTCTTATTGACACATAGACGAAACGATTTTGTTAGACATTATGATTGATTTATACATGTAGGCAATATTGACAAAAAATTTTTGATTATTACCTGGTGTGATATTAAGAGATTCTCGTTCATCAAATTATCCAATAGCAAGTAGAAGATAAAACAATAGAGATTAAATGAGTATCAGACTTGTACACTTGAACATTTTCCATTCTTTTTCTTTTTTTTTGTTGTGTTTATTATTTTTATTTTCACTAGCTCGTATACTTATGAATACAATCTTGCTTGTACGATAATATATATGTATATATGTATATTCTTATTACGCGCATGATTGATTCGTTTACCACACATTGTAATAAATAGAAAAAAGAAAAAACGAGATATAAAGATGAGACAAACCGAAACCTATTAGAACACATATCTTACA